TTTCAGGGGTTCATCCAGCCTCCAAGGCTCCAGAAAATCTAGAATCCCTGAAAATTTGGAATTCTGTTCATTTTCCCCCTTTTGAACAGGATTCTTCTATGGAATCTTTGATCAAAATGTTCAGCAACGACAGCTGGGCACTATTCAGTTCTTCCAGTCTCATGGCAAAGAAGGTACATGGAGGCAATGAGCCACACATTCCATATCCTCCTCCAATTCCTGACTCTCCTTCCTCTGTTGCTTTAGTGAAGAGAGACCAATTGTTATGCCCTGGATGGCCACTTGCAAGCTTTCAAGAACCCAGGCACTACACAATGAACTAGGAGGTAGAACAGAAGCACTAAACACATTATAAGGACAATAAACTGGGATGTCCCATGAAACAATGACCCCAAACTGCCAAACCAAGGAACCAAATCCCACAAGTGTTTGAGTGTACGTAAGCAACCTCAACAGCTACTCCTTTTTATTTTTTCCCATTGCTGTAATTATATTAGATAACTTCTGCAAAGTCACCTTTTTACAGGTGTACAATTTATTATCGACAATTATAATTGTTTGTGCTGCCCTACCCTTAATCAATGCAATTCTTCCATCACTGTTAACTTCCCTTTTCCCACTTCCTCCTGACCCTGGTAATCACTGACAAACTTTGATCTCTACACATTTGCTTTTTCTTATTTTTTTCTATAAATGTGGTCATACAATATTTGTCCTTTTATGGTCCTGGTGTGGCCCTGTGGTATAAAGCACTGGACCACAAAGTCACTTTGAACCATAAAGTCAGTGGTTCAAACTCACCAGCCGCTCCTTGGAAACCCTATACAGGGTCACTATGAGTCAGAACCAATTCAACAGCACTTAACAACTCCAAAATAGTTGGCTTATTTTGCTCAGCATAATGTCTTCAAACTCCATCCATACTGCAGCATATACCAAGACTTCATTTCTCCTACTGGTTAAGTAGTACTCTACTGCATTTATGTAACACGTTGTTTACCCATTCACCTGTGGCTAGTTCTTTAGGTTGTTTCTACCTTTTGACTATTGTGAATAGTGCTCCAATGAATACTGATGTACAAGTCTCTTTTGGGTTTCTGTTTCCAAGTCTTCTGGTTATTTATCAGTGGAACTGCTGAATCATATGGACATTGTACCCTTTCATCATACTTATTCAGTCTGTATGCTGAGCAAATAATCCAATAAATTGGACTATATGAAGAAAAATGTGACATCAGGATTGGGAGAAGGCTCATTAACAACCTGTGATATGCAGATAATATAACCTTGCTTGCTGAAAGCAAAGAGAACGTGAAGCACTATTAATGAAGGTCAAAGAATACAATCTTCAATATGGATTATACCTTAACTTACAGAAAACAAAATCCTCACAACTAGACAAATGAAGAAAACATTGAAGTTGTCAAAGATTTCATTTTACTTGGATCCAATCAATACTCACGAAAGCAACAATCAAGGACTCAAACATACTGCACTGAGCAAATCTGCTGCAACAGACTTCTTTAAAGTGTTCAAACGTCACTGAGAATTAAAGTGTGCCTAACTCAAGCCATACTATTCAACCTGTATGCTGAGCAAATAATCCAAGAAGCTGGGTTATATGAAGAAAAACATGGCATCAGGATTGAAGGAAGACTCATTAACAATCTGCCATATGCAGATGATACAACCTAGCTTGCTGAAAGTGAAGAAGACTTAAAACATTTACTGATGAAGATCAAAGAGCACACCCTTCACTATGGATTACATCTCAATGTAAAGAAAACAAAAATCCTCATCACTGGACCAATAAACAACATTATTATCAACAGAGAAAAGACTGAAGTTGTCAAGGGCTTCTTGGATCAACTATCAACACTCATGGAAGCAGCAGTCAAGAAATCAAATGACGTATTGCATT